GGCGATTTTAAATGGACCACAGACCATGCACTTTCAGCCTAACAAGCAGGATGAAGCTACAGTTGTGAGGCTGAGATCCATGTGTGGCCTGCCTTCCAGCCAACTGGAGGAGCTGTGTGGGATAGCATGGACCAGTGTGCAGAGCAGCAGAGCTGGGACAGGGCAGAGAGAGGCATCCAAGTTCCAGTGGTCCCCGAGGCCTGGCAGACCCCCATCCTCCTAGCGATTCATTCGTATCCGCAATACGGTACAGTCTTCCCTTTGCTTTTGTTATGTTTCTGTTTGTGGCAACCAAGGTGTCTGACTTATGCAACCTACAGGAGACTTGAGTCTGACACATAGTAGGGACTAAATGAATGTTAATTACTTTCAGTACTTCACACACAGAGCCTAAATGTTTGCGGGTAAGGGAACAGGTTATTATAATACAGACAAGACATAGGGGTTGAGCCTGCACATGCCCAGAGCAGAATAGAACTTGACATTTCTGTGTTTTTTTCTCTTTTTGAGGCAAGGTCTTGCTATGCAGCTCAGGCTGACTTTGAGCTTACTTTGTAGCCCAGGCTGGTTCCGAACTTGCAGATCCTCCTGCATCAGCCTCCAGAGTGCTGGGATTACAAGCACGCATCACCACGCATGGTTTCTATGTTCACTCTTGTGTCTGTCTCCTTTATTACCTTAAGTCTCAGGTCAGCTACCTGGGCAGCTCTGCCCAGGGATGTCTCTCTAAAATCTGGTGATTCAAGGCTCATTGGTCCTAAATTTAACCTACCTTGTTTCCCTTCAAGGCTGGGGACAAGAGAAGGATAAGTGAGGCATTTTTTAAGATTTGCAGGGACATTCAGTTGCCAGTTTCCATATCCTATTTTTTATTTTTATTTTTATTTATTTTTATTTTTTATTTATTTTTTTTGCGGAACCGGGAATTGAACTCAGGCCCTTGCACTTGCCAGGGAAGTGCTTATTCCACTGAGCCATCTCCCCAGCCCCTCCATATCCTATTCTAGGCTCCCTGGATTGGTGCCTAGAAGTCTTGGTTGTTGTCCTAAACCTGCAGTCCCCTCAGATCAAAGCAAAGCCTCACCAATCAGCCCTTGATGTCACTCTCCCCAAGCAGGAGCCATCACCTCATGAAACTTGGATGGCCCCGTAAGGACTTCTTGGAGCAAGCAGAGCCAGTCCTGAGAACATGACTGACTCCAGCTCCGTCAGGACTGTCTATACCTGAGTTCAATCCCTGGTTCCGCCAAAAAAAAAAAAAGATTGTCTATGCTGTCCGTCATGCAAACCTTGAGGCCTTGCCTTTGTTCTCCTTTTCTGTAAAACCTCAAAGTTTCTGTCACTCCACCAAATGGGGAGCTTGAACCTTTTTAATCTGTCCTTCCTGATATGACTACCCTTACTAAAATTCATTTCCTGTTTTTCTCCTAGACTGGCAATTTGGGATGGGGTGTCCCAGCCTCGTCAGCTTAAGACTCGGAGAGCTGGGGCTTTAAAACTCCAGTAACACTGTATTACATAGAACGGAAAGCTGGTTAATTAAAGGTCACCTTTGCTTTGAGCAGCATGAAAGAAGGTGCGCATCCCTCCAGCCTAAGCCTCCTCCACCGCCACGAGGTTCACACACCTGTTGGAAGCAGCACTGTGGGTCCTGCCTTCAGCCAGTCCTTTTCCCTGTGTGCTCTCCCTTATGCTGTGAGTCTGACCATTCTGGACCTGCATTTCTGGGCTCGGCTGGCTGAAAGTACTCTGCAACAGGTACAGTGTGAGCTCTTGTGGTGGTGGGTGGGAAGGAGGGGGACTGGGAATAGAGCTGCTCTCCAAATTAGTTTCCTGGGACATAGAAGAGCTGTTGGCTCAAATCTCAAGGGCCATCCTTGAAACCAGTGGGTCTCCAGTATTGTATGAAGAGGAGTTTGAGTTTGTTCCTGTCTTGAGTAACGTGAGTGACATTAGTCAAATCAATGATATAAATGAAGGAATGAAGGGCTGCTTGGTTTTTGAAGGACTCCATCTCATTGTTTTAAGCTTTATTATTTTTCAGTCTTGAGACAGGATCTTTCTAGCTATGTAGTTTATGCTGGCCTTGACTTGTGGAGATTTTCCTGCCTCAGACTCCCAGTACTAAGATTTGGGTGTGCATCACCATGCCTGGCTTAGACTCTTGAATTTAATGTTACAGTTGATGGAGGGTTTTGTTTGTTTGTTTAAAGTGCTAGCTGGGCATGGGTGGTGCATGCCTTTAATCCCAGCACTTGGGAGGCTGACCCAGGAGGATCCACCATTAATTTAAGGCTAGCCTGGGCTACATAGTGAGTTCAAGGCCAGCCTAAACTACATAGTGAGAGCCTGTGTCAAAAGAAAAAAGGGCTATCGGGGAGACAGCTCAGTGGCGTAAGCACCTGCTTGACAAGCACCGAGTTTGACCCCCGGTACTGGGAAAAAATGCTAACAATTTATTAGGCTGGTTGGTAGAAGTATGGATCAAAAGATGACCCACTATGTAAGAGTTACAGAAGCCCTTTCATTCCTTGGGTCACTACTGTTGATGAGGGGATTTAAAAGTGCAGGTAAACAGGAATGCTGGGGTAATGCAGAAAATGTAGTTTATTCATAACTTAAGAAACAAATTTGTGGGCTGAAAAGATAGCTCAGTGGTCTAGGCACCTCCCTGACAAGCACAAGCACCGGGGTTTGGTCCCCGGAACTATATGCTGTGCCCGCCCCATGCCCTACCAGTCACCGAAACTGGGTTTGGTGAAACTGGGTTTGGTGGTGCGTGTCTGTAATCCCAGGGCTGGGGAGGCTGAGACAGGAGGATCACTGTGAGTCCAAGCTGCTGTATAGCCAGACCCTGGACTAAATAAATCTTTAAAAAACCAAGACACAGATTTGTGAGAGCACAAGCAACTCTGAAGATCCCCCTCATCGCTTTTCTCTGTATGCCACACCTTAGGGTCGGGACCGCAGTTCCTCGAATGTGAATTTAAATTAAGGGTAATGGGTTTAGTTGGATCTTAAGAGTGGCAGAGTCAAGTGACAGCACTCGACTGCCAAACACAAGGTGCTCACATTTGCCATAACGGACCGCAGAAGCAAAGCAAAGATGCATAACTATGGCATCGATAGTTATGGTGTTCCCAATTTTGAAACAGAAAGGCGATTACACTTTTACTAAATTATACAAACACAAAAATGAGCAGAAATCTACCTCAATTCACGGCAACAGAGAATCAAGGCTTCTCAACCAAGTCCCAGAGCTGAGCCCGCTTGAATACCCTGCACGCCTTGAATACGGGTGGCCTCACTTCCCGAGGAAGGACCTTGGTGCTGTATCCAGCCTTCACTGTCAATCTTTCTCATTCATCCCCGAAAGGCCCCAAGGCCCTCTGCCAGGGCAACTGCTCACTAGGGAAACGGGAATGATTAGAGGGACTAGGGGAAAGGGCTTCCCAATTTCTCCACTCATACAGGTGAAAAATTAGCATTCTTGCAAGACAGTAATTCTACTGTCTTCTGCACCTGGGGTTGAAACTATAAACAGTGGGGCTGCAAAGTCTCCGTCGTTTCTAGTCAATCAAGCCTAATGCATTCTTTAACCCGTGCTGTGTGTAGGCGTTGGAGAGGTCACTAGGCAGCCCAGGTTAGCACTGAGCTCTGGGATCCTACGGCCTCAGCCCCCCGGACGCTGGCGCCACAGGTGCGCGCCACCACGCGCGGCTCTTCTCACTCAGAGGAAAAGCTGGCGACTACAGTGCCCTACAGAAGCAGGCAGCTTTCATCATTCTTTCATCAGCTCCGCCCGGGCGTCCGTGACCCTGTCGCTCCAAACCCGTGGCCCTCAGAGGCGGATTACGCTTCAGCTTCCCGCCTCAGTGTTTCGGAGCCGTTCTTGCAACTCGTTGCATAAGCCTCCTCAGGAGGAATTTTGATGAAAGGCGCCGGTCCTGTCCTCGATACATTTCAGTCGTTTCCGTACTTCCTCACAGAGCGCACGAGCACGTCCCCGGCGGGGCGCGCAAACGCCCCTCCGGTCCACGACCGCGTCTGGGGCGGCAGAGGGCGAGCCCCGGAGCGCTCAGGCCCATTGTTGAGCTCCACCGTCCCGCCGCCGGCTAGGCGCGCGCCGGGCACGCAGCCACGCGCGCCCACGCCCCTGTCCTCCGCACTCCTT